CGTTTCAGGTGCTTTTCAGCTTTTTTCCAAGGTTTTTGCTGTTGTTTACTCTAATCCCAAGCACAAAGGTGCCCAAAAGACATTCTGCTGTCTCTGAGTGAAGGTCACAAGCTTTACTGGCTCTACTGAAACACCGAACTGTAACCTTGAACAGGCGGAACCCTAAGTTTGAACTCGGGAAGCTCCTGCTCTGGCCGAGGCTTGCGGTCTCTCGGCGAGACCAGGCCTCTGGGAGTGGCCTTTCGTGTGCAGGCCCGGCAGTCGTTGCTCCGCCACCACGAGCTGCACGGGTTCGCGGGAGTGCCAGAGTGGTCTCTGCGGAAGCTTGCCCAGGCCAAAAAGTGGCCGGTCTCGGTCCAGGAGGCAGGACACGACGAAGACGACCGCCTAGCGATAGTTTGTTTGTTCGTTGGTCAAGGAAGAAGTGGTCGGCCGCTTGCTGAGCCGCCAAGAGGCCGCTCCCTGGTCGATCGACACGGGCATCGACTTGGAGGAGCTCGTGCGGGACACCATGCTGGCCGCAGATCAGGAGCAGGCGCTCAAGCATCTGGCGAACAAAAAGGCCGGTCAGGCGTCGGCCAAGGACGTGCGGAAGAGGGCCTCTCACACCTACGAGCACGTGGCCAAAACGTTCGCTGGTCGGCCGGAGTACAAGAAGTTCCAGGCCCAGCGAAAGGAGAAGGAGAAGAAGGCCGTTCAGGAGCAGAAAGCACGGGCGGCCGAGGCGAAGAGGGTCTACGACGACGTGAACGTGGACGTCGACCGGGTCCTCAAGGCTGCCGTGCCGCCGGGCGTTCGTGTGTACACCGACGACCGGAACGGCCGATGGAGCCTCACGTACAGCACGGCCTGGGCCTTCGCCACCAGAAGCATTTCCTGGACTCAGGTCGGCAGCAAGCCGGCCGGGCGGGCTGCGGTTGAGCAAAGCTGGGACTGGGCGGAGACGTTCGCGGGCCTCGCCATGTCGGACGAGGCCGCAACGATCCTGAAGAAGTTGTCGGCCTGAGTGCTCCTGGTCGTTGCTGGAAGCTTTCACGGTGGACGTCCCTTCTTTTGCTGGAAGTTCGGAAGCAGTCACTCGAACGAGCTCCGTGCTTCGAAAAGGTTGCAGCTGCAGACCACCAGTTTCAGTGCATACGCAGCTTTCGTTTGAGCACTGTGCTTTCGAACTCAATAGCAGAACCTGTCGCCTTGCTTCGCCCAGGTCAACAGCAGGCCGTCTTCAAGCTCGTCCTCCAGCATCGGCGTGAAGCAGGCTCCTATACGGCATGATTGGTCTGCATTGCAGTGCCGGTGATGCGTAGTCTTCCTGCTGTTGGGCTGTGCACTTGAGAAGACTCCACTCTGTGGCTTAGAGCGATGCACAAGCTAGCGATCCCTTTGCAGGTAGTCTGGTTTCCTCGTGCGACTAGAGGAGATGAAGCAGTCAGTCAGGTCGTGCTGGTGGTACTAGCAGTGGTGCAGTAGTCGCAGGAGTCTTGCTAGTGCTACTACTATCTGTAGAGGTCCAAGTCCCAGTCATCTTGATTTTACTACTAGTCCTGGAGTCCTCCTCGCACCCGAAGTTTTCGCAGTAGACGTCACAGTAATAGTCCTTGTCCTGCTGTCGCGTTCCTCCTCGGTCGTTCGTCCTTCGTGCTTAGTCGTTCGTCGCCGTCGCAGTCGCCATGCCCCGGCCATCCTTGACGGAGACGGGAGGCGTTCGGAGAGCCAGTGCCTGGAGTCTCTTCAACTCCTGGGTCTCTCGCGAAGGTCTGTCAGAAAAACAGGCGGCCCGGTTTCGCATCCGTGGCAAGCGGATGCTGCGGACGGCATCCGCCATGAAGGTCAAGTGGCTGCTCGGACCTGTATTTTTAGCTTTGAGGAAAATAGAAGACATGGCTTCCCTAATTTAAGTTATAAGTCTTTTGGGAATTTATTCTCCCTTGCCCAGAACAGCAAAGCCTTCAGACGTGACCCCGAAGGCGTTACTCACTAAAGGGTTGTTATACTGTAATAGTAAATACTGTGAAGTCGTAGCCCTAAACGTCAACCCATCCATGAATACCCTTTCTAAGCCTGGAGGTGCGTTTCAGCTTTTTTGAGGTGCGTTTCAGGTGCTTTTCAGCTTTTTTCCAAGGTTTTTCATTGTTTTTCCTTTCAGGTCCGGTTTAGTGAATAATTCACATTTTCATGTCAGCGGAACCCCGAATGCCAGCAATACTAGAGTCTAGAGCATTCCAATCACTGTAACTACCTTGACAGTCGCAGCCCTAAACCTGGAACCCATCCCTGATTACGGGGCTTGTAGGTGCGTTTTTGAGGTGCTTTGCTTTAGGTTTTTAGAGTTTTGTTTCAGGGCCTGCAAAACAGAAGCTGTGCTGCACTGAGGAACCACAAGAAGAGCAAGGACATTCGCGAGCAGTTCGGGGCGATGGCAAAGGCGGCCTACGAGGACAACCGCCAAAGGGCAGAGGCTTTCAAGACTGCCCGGAGCAAAGACTTTGTCTTGTTCGACGAACAGCAGGTGGATCGTGCCCAAGACGAGGATGCGGAGGCCATAGCCGTTCGAGTGCAGGAGGACATCGAGGCCGATTGTGCTAGGAGGGACGTTCTCGAGGACTCCTGGACCTGGACGTTGGGCGTGCCTTTTCGCGACTTGGTCGAGGTGGGCAGTGGGGTCGACGGACAGGTCTTTCGGGCCACGTTCCAAGGACAGTCGTTGGCCTTGAAGCTGGCCAAGGGTCGCGGGCTGCAGGACCCGATGCAGCGGGCGGCCGCAGGTGGCCTCGACGTCGCGGAGGAGTTCGCCGTTCTCGGGGCGCTTGGCCAGCACCCGAACGTCGTTCGAGCCTTCGCCGTTCTCAGCAGTTCGCTCGGAAGGCCAGCTCTGGTCCTCGAGTGGGCAACGGAGAGCCTGCAGCAAATGGCTCGCAGGCTGAAGGACGACCGCCTGGAGACCTCGCCGGCCGGGCGACGGTCGCTGCTCAACCTCTTTCAGCAGTTCGTTGTCGGCCTCTCCTACGTGCACAGCCGCTCGTTCCTGCATTTGGATGTCAAGCCCACGAACATCCTGGTCTTCGATGGCGTTCGTGCAGCAGTTGCAGATTTCGGCCACTCGGAGCACGTTTCGGACACTGGCTGCACGGTGATCGGCAATCGGGTCTACACCGAGGCCTTTCGCTGTGCGGAGTGCCTCATGGCGGCCGATCGGAAGGCCGGATTTCTAAAACCTATAAGCTTAACCAAATATAGGACCCTTTAACCCGTAGTAGCGGTAGCAAGTGTGCAGGAGTTTTGGTCTCAAGTGTGACTTTTGTTTGGTGAGTTTGTAAATGTACAGCAAGCAGTAACCTTTGCCTCTGTCGTTCTAATTCTGCACCGCCCTAGCAGCCCCAGCCTCGAAGACTCTACCCTGCCAGGTACGTGTGACGTTCGCCGGCGACGTTTGGGCGGCCGCTGTCTCGTTGTTCGAGATCTGTTGCCCAAAAAAGGCCTCGCTGTGGACAATCCCACCTGCGACGTTCCTCCGGGACACCGAGGAGCAGACGGCCAAGGCCATTCGGGAGATGGCCCTCGCTAAGAGCTCCAAGGTCATGCCGTACGATGAGGTCGTTTTGGAGGTCCTGAAGCAGACCTTCGTGCCGGCCAATCGACGGCTAGCTTTGCCAGGCCTGCTGAAGATCATCCAAAAAGCCGTTCGGTCAGCACGACCCCCGTGCCGTCTCGACTGAGACTGGCAGTTTTCAGGGAAGGCTCTCTTTAGGTTTGCCGCCAGGACCGAGGCCGGCCTTGCATCTCGCCCAGACCACGTCGTTCAGAGAAGCAGAAAAATTTGCAGCTCTTGCTCTCATGATGCAGTTGTTGGTTTTGTGTTGTAGGCCTGTACAGGACACCCAGCACATGTCTGCTACCTTCTCTGTTGCCCCCCCGCAACCCTGCCCGTTTTCGGCCGCAGCCTGTGCCAGGTGCTGGATCTTGCGGGCGATCGGCTACAGCGAGAAACGGCTTGGCGTTGCTTCGGCCGTTCGCGGAGATCGGGTTTGCCCTAACAGTCAAACCTAAATAACACGAGCAACTCTAAACCCTGAAACCCCGACCCTACACTAGGCGTCATAAGTTCGAAAGCCTCAAGGAACCACCCGTTTTTCCCGAAACCTTCCCCCTAAACCCTCCTAAGGCCTAGAACCTTATTTGCTCATTAAATTCAATCTCAGACCACATCATTCAAAATAAACATATAGCAACCAGTTTTCTCGTGAAGTTTTGGTCTTCGCTGCGTTAATTCAAAAGACTAAACAGCTCCGAAACCACACTGGCGAGCAACATATTTTCCTATAAACTTGAGCACAAAAAGCGTGAAGGTAAGCTTTGCCGATGGGTCGCTTGTTTTGGATTAATGATTAATGCCTGCCTTTTTTGAAGCATTCTAGATTTGGCTTGGATTGTCCAAACAGTTCGCATAATACTGCAAAAATCATACACCAGAGTATACAACAGTACACTGGCGAAAAAGAGCTTGTGTGCTAATCTTCGCCAATCCTAGATTCAGTCGTTTTTGGAAAGCATGGACGATTGAAAACATGCCTCACACTAGAAAATGTCATGACAAAACATGTTAAAAACACCCATGTGATATGAGCAAGAAATTTTCAGCAAGAATCATGGTTTCTCGACTAGCTTTTCATCGCGATGGTAGTCCGGCCGGCCAAGGCCAAAACCAGTCACCTATCCTAGCCAACTTTTGTCGGTCCTAATTAGGCCGCCCAATGGAGGCTTGATACCCTACACCGTTGATTTGAAATTAATGGTTTTACATGCATATAGTCGTAGTCTCAGAACAACCCGGAAACCCTAAAACCCCAACACATCCCACAATCAATTCCAACCAAAAACCTCTCACCCCCATTTCCCTTTAGACCCGAAGCCCTGAAGCCCACACGATATTCAGCAAACCCCAAACCTCGAACCCTGAACCCAAAAGCCTGATTGCTCAAACTTGAAGCCGATGCTTTGTCGAGGCATCCAAGGCGCGGGCCGGCGAGGCACCAGCCTCGAAGGGGCTTGGGGCTTCAGGGTTTGGAGTGTAGGCTTTGGGGCTTTATGCGATTCAGGGTTTAGGATCCGGGATTTGAAGGTTTAGGTGTTCAGGTTTGGAGTCTGGAATGCGAAGTCTTAGGTGAGTGATGCGATAACTCGTGCCGCAGCTACTCAAGGCAAGACAACAGCAGGGTTCACGGACGACTAACAAGATGGGGATGACAATGCTGACGATGGCGTGCTGCTGCTGCTGCTGCTGCTGATGGTGATGACGTTGGCCGAGATGAAAATGAACATGATGTCGCGACGATGGATGGGGGTGATGACGACGACGGTGAGGATGCACAAGTTGTAACACGAATAATAATGACAACTACCACAACCGTATTAATATCAATACGAAGCAGACAGAACCAACAGTAGTCGTCGTCGTAGTCGTAGTAGCCGTCGTCATACAAGTAATCATTGATAAGAACAGTTAACAACAAGAAGATGAAGATGCTGATGACAGTGGCGATACTGTCACACAAAGGATTCGGTTGATGGCGATGGCGACGTGACGGAGCTTATGGGGAGTGCGTTGAAATTTTGATGGCAGTGATGAGCCGCAACGAAGGACATCATAGCGGTCACCACGGTACGGTTGGGGCCGCTGCTGGCGAGGATGATGTGTGAGTTGGTGATGCGGTGTTCGTGATCATGGCAACAGCACACTTGGGAGTTTCCGCAAATTAGGGGTACCTTACTTTGGGGTCCTCATAATAAGGATCCTGATATTTAGAGTACTATATTAGGGTCCCCTATTTCCGGAAAGTCCCACTTGATGTTGAGTACATGACAAGCCTGTGCTGGCGATGTATGCGTTCTGATGATGGAGACAGCGAGGGGGCAAAACAACAAACAAGCCTAGACTATGCGGCCGGTGAAGGCGGCGATGTTGTTTGTCACGGCTGGTAGTGAAATCGTAGCTCTGCGGATTGAGGTGGCGAGGATGAAGAAGTAGCCGAATCGTGAAGTGTTGAAGACCCGCTTGAAAGAAAGCACAGTAAAATAATGAGTTGCTTCAAGACTTTCCGATGCAGAGGGGAAGCTTGATATTCAGCTAAGCGTGGGCCTCGAAGTGGAGCACTCTAATTTTGTGTTTTTCGGCATGCTTATACAAGAGCTATAATAAGGAGATGCTATCGCCCCCCCCCGCCCCCTCCACCCTTTTCATAAACCCCAAACCGCAAACTCCAGAACCCCAAACCCTCTAAGCCCCAATCCTAAAACCCGAAAAAGCCCATACTTTGTCCCTCCCTCTCTCTCTCTCTCTATATATATATATATATACACGAACATTGTTTATATACATATATCTACGTACACAAACCGTATACACATCGACACGCACACACACACACACACACATACCCTGCAAGCCCTGCACAGCCTTAAGCCCCTTCCCAGTCCAAGAAGAGAAGGCCCCCACTTCTGGGAGAGGCCCTAAACCCAAAACCCCAAACCCTAAAACCCCGACCTTGCACCCAAAACCCTAAACCCTAAAGCCCAAAACCTAAGCCCTACAACCTAAACCCTAATGCCCCTAAGCCCTAAACCCTGAAGCCCTTCAGCCCTAAACCCTAAAACCCCAAACCCAAGCCCTAAACCCTAAAGCCCTAAGCCCAAAATCCTTAAAACCCTAAAACCCTAATACCCGAAAACCCTAAACCCTAAAACCCCAAACCCTAGAGCCAAAACCAGGCCTAAAGCCCTTAAGCCCTAAACCCTAAAACCCCGAAAACCCTAAAGCCAAAGCCAGGCCCTAAGAGCTGCCCAAGAGAGCTCCGATTTCCAGGCGATTCCCGGGTTTAGGGTTCCCAGGAGGCTTTGGGGTTCCGTTAAGGGGATCTCTAGGGTTTGAGGGTTTGGCTTGGGAGGGGGAGCGTTGAGGCGTCGGGTTGTCGGGTTGCTTGGTTTGGCTTCAGCCCGCTAAATACATACGCTGTTGTTTTTTGTTTTTGTTCCAGCATTGCAGTTCCGTGTGAATGGGGTGCTGCGATAACTGGAGCAGGGGTTGTTATGATATGTTTCGTCGGTTTAGGCAGGGGCGCTGAACCATCAGAATACTGGGCTCGTCGTTGGAAGCGAAGGATCTTCGTAGCTGCCCAAATGTCAGAATGTCTGCCTGTTAAAGTGCCTGCGAACAGATTGCACACGCAGCATTTAGCCAATTAATGTGCGAAAAGTCGCAAGCGGGCAGTAGATGTAAAGCACATCGTCTTGAAGTGTTTTCAGTTTTCAGTCCGGAGGGTTGGGGGCGTGGGGTGGAAAGCTCAGGTTGCATCATTGTGTTCCACAGCCTTGCATTCACCCACTCGTAGCCCAAGGCTGTGAACATATGGGATGACCAAGCCCACAACTTTACGCTTTACCTGCAGCAAGCAAACAAACAGAACGTAAAGCAAGCAAAACCCAAAGGGTCCAAGTCACCATATAGTACATACTATAGGGTACTAAGTGCCTACTATAACGGTACTTGGACCCTTTGGGAAACGGACCTGAAGCTGCAACTCGAAGAATCGTTGGAATCGTTCATTGATTCAGCCTTGAAGCCTCAACCTCGAGGTTCTCTGGGTTCAAAGTTGGCAGTTGGCATGCAACTGGGAACCCCAATACAGAACCATAATTTATAGTACATAGCAGGATCTTTGGTAGAAGGAACCTTAAATAGGGGCTCCTTGCTCTAAGAGAGCCCGACATTGATCAGGATGTTGGCGCTTACGCGCGAGTGTGTGCCAACGCGGAGCAGGGCTCTCAAGCAATTTTAATTGGCAGGTTGGCACCGTGGCAGCTTGCACCGGGCTGCGATAGCTTACTGCAATGTTTTGCTCGGTTGCTCTAGATTCGCATGCTATAGGACATCATATGATGGTAAGTTATACAGTATCAGGACAATAGCACCCTTTCCCTGCACGTAGATGCAATCAAGATTTGTGCATCAGCCGGCCACAACTGTCAGTAACTACGTTGAACTCAAGATCTGCAACTGCGCACACCGAGATTTCAATGACGTCAACACTTGTTTTGAGGCCTGAATAATTGAACACGGGTTGCTTGGTATATGAGACTGCGTTAAGAGATGCAAGAAGGAACGCCAAGGAATGATGTTGGTACATAGTGATCAGGCTCCTATACTAAACCCTAAACCCTTATCGAACGTTGACAGCAACCAATATGGGACCCATTACAAGAATCCTATATCACAGGAAACTAATTCTGAATCAGCACCACTTGAGAGAGCAGCTACCATTTCAGCTATGTTGGCCATGCGCATGTTTGTGTGTCCTGCTTCAGCTGGGTCATTGCGAGGCCGGCAGCAACACATGCAAAGGTATTTGATAACCAGTAAGTATGAAATGAACCTCACATCAATAGAAGTCTACAAACAACCACACCTGAATAGCCACCGGGATCAAACTTCCAATTGCTTATACAAAAAGCCTGGAGATGTATGTCTGTCACTCAACAGATCCTCTTACCACGGTAGTAATGTGCATCCCCCAAAATTGCAGTCTCGATATCGGCCCGCTTCCGTGCATAGGAGTGCAGCCATGTCGCTTTTCCATAATTTGCTGCACATCAAGCCGATCTACGAGGTGCCTCAAGGTTATCATCATCATCTCCTCCTCCTCCTCCTCCTCATCATCATCATCATCATCATTGCTGTGTACGTGTGATGCAAAGCCGACTCTCATCAACTACTGCTTGTTTGCATAAACATGGTGACATCCATCATCAGAACACTCATGACCGCTGTGGTTGTCCTCATCATTGTTGTCATGACCGAGACCTGCGCGAGCATCCTTTTTTCAGCAAACCTGCAGTACACCGCCCACCAACCATCTGCTCTTGGTCATCGTAATCACGGTACTGTACCACCATTGTCGCCATCATTACCTGTCGCTGCAAAGGTCGCAGAGCAACCCGGTAGAACTTGGAGTAGAGGTAGTGGTGGTGGTTTCAGCAGCAACATCAGCAGCATCAGCACTACTGCCGATACTGCTGTTGCTGCTGCTGCTGCTGCTGCTGCTACTGCTACTACTGCTACTACTGCTACTACCGCTACTACCGCTACTACTGCTACTACTGCTACTACTGCTACTACTGCTACTACTACTACTACTACTACTACTACTACTACTCCTGCTACTACTCCTGCTGCTACTGCTACTACTACTACTACTACTACTACTACTACTACTACTACTACTACTACTACTTCTACTACTACTAACTACTAACTACGAACTACTATCTACTAGCTACTTACTAGTAACTCCTCACTAATAACTACTGCCACCACCACTCCTGCTCCTGCTCCTGCTACTACTGCTGGCGCTGGTGGTGCTGGTGCGGAGGTGGTAGCGGTGGTGCTGGCGGTGCTGGTTTATGTTGTTGTTGTTGTTGTTGTTGTTGTTGTTGGTGGTGGTGGTGGTGGTGGTGGTGGTGGTGGCAGCGGTGGTGTCGGTAGTGGTGCTGGTGCTTGTCTTGGTATGTCTTGTTGTCGGTGGTGGTGATGGCAGTGATGGTGATGGTGGTGGTGGCGGGGTTGTGGTGGTGCTATGGTAGTGGTGCCCTGGTAGTACGCATTTGTCTGGTAGAGACCGACTCAACAACGTTCCGAGACGAAAGCCCATTTGACAAAGGTAGTGTTGGTGCAGTGGTGCAGCAAGTTGGTGCAGTTGTGCGATGGAGACGCTGTACAAGAAGTTGATGCCCTTAGGGAGTATTCCAGGAAGCCATCAATGGCCGCGGATTTTTCTTTGGTCCGTGCGACTTGCTGAAGCTCTTCAAGGGCGGCAAGCCGACATCTCGCAAAGAGGACAGTGGTTGCCTCTTGTGCTAGCTGGAGCTGAGAGTTCTACGGGGGCTTGGCTGCAGGACTCTTCCTCGCTGCCCACGAGGTGGTGTGTCATCGATGATAGAGTTCCACGGCAGCATCAGTTCGATTCATAGGCTTGCGGATTTTCTAGACTGCTTCTTCGGACAGCTCTGTCGCTTGCTGAGTCACATCATCATAAACCTTAGCCTGAAGTCTAAAGGCCCTGATAGCCCTGGTACCTCAGAAGCCCGAACGGCAGGGTCCCCTACGAGCCCGCCTAGCTAAGATGACCCTGCAGCAGGTGATCGATTTGGACCTTCTTGCCAGCGGTGCGGGCGAGGAACATCCTGGTGGTCAGGCCTGCTTGCCACGTGGACATGTGTCCCAAATTCTAGCTCGACGTTTGTCTATGTGCACTTTTGCCATTCGGGAGGCCGCGCTGAAACTGGCAGAGGGCCGTGACGCAACGATGCTCTTCAGGCAGGCTCCAAATGCCCCATCCGAGATCTTTTTGGGGTTGGTTTGGGGCACGACGACTGTGCAGGGGATTCCTCGTGAACAGTAGTTCAGTTTCCTCCGAACCGATACAGTACTCCTTGACCACAGCAATGGGAATCACAATGCTGCTGCTGATGTCATTACCGGCCTCATTTTCATCATCAGCAGCATCACCATCATGGTCATCCTCATCACCATCATCGTCGTCATCATCATAGTCATAATCGCGTTTTTGTTCTGCCACTTCTTCAGGTCGACGCATGCTCTGGCACGCAAGGAGCCGGGGCAGAATGATTTCGTTATCAGTCCGTGGGTTTCGGGTCCTAGATATATTAACTGGTTACACCAGGAAGAGAGATTACAATGGAGACTGCAGGTGCGTGTCAAGCCCTCTCGCAAACACTCCTGTAGGCTCATACCCTGCCCCTTTTTTGAGGGTACCTTCTTTTCTATACGACAGATCCTAACCATAAAAGGCGCAGGGTATGAGCCTCTAGGCACCTCCCGGAAAAGCTATTGGACAGCCTTCTGCCTCAGGAGATGCTGGCGTACTGGCTGAAGAGATGCACAGCTGCTCTTCTGAATGGCAACGCATCGTTTTTTAGTGTATCTCATTCTAAACCCTAAACCGCAAGGCCTAAGACTTTCGCATTATTGTTTCGTCCTTGTGTCACATTGTTTAACTAGCGGTATGGGATTTGCTGGCGGTGTACATTCGGCCCATGACTTTGGCTTCGGTTCCGCATGGATGCGCGTCCATGTTCGTGTGATTCCGGCTAAAGAGTCTAGAGTTTACAGTTTAGGGTTTAAGGGTTTAGGGTTTAAGGGTTTAGGGTCAAAGGGTTTTGGGTTATAAGGGTTTATAAAAGGGTTTAGGGTTTAAGGCAGTCCAGGCTCTGTACGGACTGCTACCTGAACCACCTCCGGCAGACACAGCTCGGTGAACGCTTCTGGCAGTCGTCAGGGCTCGTTTCAGCCGACGGCTGCGAACTCCAGATTCCAGACTACTTGGAGGTTCATGGGTAGTTATAAGTGGAGTTATAAGTCCCCTAATATGGTTATAATTAGAGTTACCCTACTTATAATCCCACTTATAACATAACTGCCCATGCCCATGAACCTCCGAGTAGACCTGTCCAGAGCTCGCTCGAACCCCGCGAGAGGAGAAGATTCCAAATCACAAGCAGAGTGCGCAAGATTTGCAGACTCCGCACATGCTTCCTGCAGGTGTTCAAGCGACTCCGATGTTGTGCATGCTGTTTCCAAACAGCCCTAACACCCCGAGGAAACTTAGTCGTACTGCGGCTGATTCCCTAAATCCTGCATGGTTTTCACCCGCCACACGGTTCCCCGGCTGCCGTATGCTTGAATAATATGTGCGTATGTGTATGTATGCATACACTCTCTCTCTCTCTATATATATATATATATATATATATATACCTTTATATGCACTCTTGTATCATACAGCCCCAAACCCGCAAACAACCCTGACCCCTCAACCTCAGACCCCTTCTAAAGCCTTAAACTGCAACTTCGAAACCTCAACTCCAGACCCTCGCGGCTTGATTTTAAGAAGGAGCAGAAACCACCAAACCTTGCTTCTCTTTTTTGAATCCTTGTTTAAGGGAGCCCAAAATACCCCAAAGCCCTAAACCCTAAGCCCAAAGCTCTAAGCCCTAAACCCAAAGCCCTAAACTCTAAACACCCCAAAGCCCTGAACCCTAAACCCAAAGCCCTAAACCCTATATAAAAAAAAACCCAAAGCCCTAAACCCTAAGCCCTAAACCCTAAACCCTAAGCACCCCAAAGCCCGCTGAGGTTGGCACCCTGGCAGAGTTCCCCGATGCCTCCGGGGCGCTGGCGGCCTCGGGCGCCGAGGGTGGCCTGGCAGCATTGTCTTGGGTCCCTTTTCTCAAGGGTTCCTTTGAAAGGGGATCTACTTGGAGGATCATGGGACTTAGTAAGTATGGTTCTAAGTACCTTGATTGGGGGTTATAAGTAATTATAAGTATAGTTACCTTAATTATAGCCCTAGTTACTAAGCCCCATAATCCTCTAAGTATAAGGGTTCCTATAAGGGTTCTATAAAGAGGTTCAGGGTTTCAGGAGTTTAGGGTTCAGGGTTCAGGGATTTAGGGTTTAGGGATTTAGGGTTTAGGGGTTTAGAGCTGCAAGATTTTAGTGTAGTAGGGGGGATGTATAGGAGTTGGTGCAATACGGGGTCTTATTGCTTTGCGTGGGGTCTGTCTCTTTTTGTGATTTGCTATTTAGGGTTTTGGGGGTGAGGAGTAACAGGGGTATAGGGTTTGGGATTTCTGGTTCAAGGTTTAGGACTGAAGGTTTTAGAAAGTAAGGTTTTATGACTTCAGTGCCGCTTTCTCTACAAGGGGTTCTTTTTGGGAGGGGTTGGGGCTTGGCATTT